TGAACACCCATCAGAGTTTGACTAAGGGCAGTGGGCGTGACCGGCCCAATGGCCCGAGCACCGGTTTGTGCACCGCCTATTGGAAGCGCCGTCCGTAGCCGAACAACAAAATTTTGATTTTGTTACAACAGCTCTGCGCACAATACAAACCTCCTAAAATTAAAAAAGAAACGTATCCATCTAACCGTTTTCAACTAGGTCTCCCATTAATGACCATCAGAAGAGGGTGGGACTTCAGTAATCAGCAAAAAAAATCATCATCTTCAACAGAAACAAAAAAAAAAAAAAACACACAGATAAAATTGAAGATAGAGGTAGCTAAAAAACAATATTAATCGTCATACACCTTCAAAGTGAAATGCACACAAACTAATGCAACAGTCTTCAAATTTAGCAAATGCTAGTACCATCAAAAAAGAAAAAAGACTAAATCGGTAAGTTGTAATATTTAATAAAAAACGTTGCAACATAAAAGCAAAAGAAAAAAGCAGAAAAATATTAAAGAATAATGACAAGGGAAAAAAACCATTAAGTGATACTTTTTTGACAAAATTTTACTTGTTATTTTCTTTTACCTCTCTACAGTTAAACAAATGAAATCCAAGAGTACAGATCACCAAATCAGTACAGCAACATGTTGGTGACTGAGCAAGATTCTGACATTGTTAAACACTATTTATATCGGCTAGCTGTTGACAGGATACCGCTGCCTGTGACCTCCGTTATTCCATAGCAATCGTTTTGTTGAAAATTTTTATCACTCAGTAAATTATTGTTGCTGAAAAGTGTGCCAATTTTCTTTTTTTAACAGAACAAAAGACTTCTTTTTCAGTCGTTAAATATTTTACAGTCTGACAGTAAAAAAAAGAAAAGAAAAAAAATTTTTTTAACAACTAAAATAGGCACATAACCGAATTCTTTTGTACTCGTTAACAAAAAAAAAACTAAAAAAAGTTTGCACAAGAAAACTTCAAAGGTATTAACAGTTTGGTGAGACAATTTTTCCTACTTCATCGTCGTTGTTGTCGTTCATCTAATCAGACGAAGATGAAACTGATGAAGACTACTGTTCACTGTTAAAGCACTCCCAAACGTTTTTGTTATTGTTAGATTTTCTTCTTCTCCTTTTTTTTTTTCCTCTAACGTTAGTATCATCACCCTTATCGGCCTACATTTCAGATATCTTTTTCAACGGCAATTATGCGAAGGCATATGTCGTGTTGGCGTTTAGCACCTTAAAATTGTTTCTTTGAAACTGCTACCGAAAATCCAATTTTTGTTTTTTTTATGTGAATTTCCTCCATTTATCACTGATAACACTGCACCAGAAAAAAAAAAAAAAGGTAGATTTTTTTTATTTTTATTCCAAAAATTGCTTCTGTCAATCAGATACGGTCTTATATTTTCTATTTAATCTTAACTTTCAATTGAGAATGCAGTTCTTTTTTTTTTTTTTTTTTTTTTTTTTTTTTTTTT